ACATAATCATGATATTAAAGATTAATCTTCTCTTTATAATCTCTATCTAATCATTAGTTTTCTTGCATTAAGTTAAAACAGAAGAAAATAAATGTTTCACTAATGAGCTTATAAGTATTCATGTTTACTAACTTTACGAATGTTTTTCACTAAAATGGTTTAGTGTACATATTCCACTCACAAAAATAGGAGATAAAGACAAACAAACTCTAGAAAGTTTGTTTTTTCTTCATTTTTTGCCCGTTAGTGTAAATTTGAAATGGGACTTTTAGTCAAACATTTCGATTTGATTCATTTAACGTTCATAATAAATTACTATCTTACCTTTTTAGGGTAAGATGAATGACCCGGCACGTATAGATTTAGGTCTCTTGTTCCCATATAAATAGTAACCCCTAAGGGTCTAAAGGCCCTAACCTATACAAGAAAATAATAATATGACCAATTTGACGATAATTACGATAAAGGACTACTTTTCTCCTTAGTTTTCGTATGTTTCTACGCATTTATGCAACTTTCTAACCCTACACGGCACGAAGCACTAGCTTATTTAAATGAAAACTATTGAACAAATAATATGATGGTTCTTAATTTGTATTATATGGTCCTCGTTTCCTTTTCGTATATTAGTTTTATAGGCCATGTTTTATCTTAATTTGTGTAGTGGCCGCTTAACTTATTGCCACCGTTGCAAATTCATCCAATTTACATCTTAATCATGTAGCTCCTATTAGTTCGTCTACCAAGCTATATCAATAAACAAATAATAAAGAACAGAAACTTTCTTTAAAACCCGTAACATTCACATTTAAAATTGAGCTATAGAGTACTAGTAATAACAACAAGATTCTCGAAACCTTAACTTATGACATTAGTTTATACACATAGAGACTACAAAAACAAATAGAGTACTAATTTTAAATTATTTAGCTGGTGTAATGTCCGATGTAAATGACGCAATACAACAATGGAGTCGGAAAGTTTGGATTTTTTAAAAGAAAATATGGTGAGGATAAAGACAAAGGGGACCAAGGAAAACAATTTATTATTAGTAGGGTAGATAATAGGAGAAATAAAAAAAGAAGGGGTTTTTATGAAAAGACGGAAACGGTTTCGACGCGCGTGGGCCGTAGAGTTGGGCCGTGTACCGAATTTGTCAGTATTCTCTTCCGCACGAGCGCATATTTTGTCACCTCTTTCTACTCCAAAGATTCTCTTAATGCCCACTAAGTATATTTATTTATTTTTATATAGTGTGTTATTAAATTATGCCCTTAAATTATTCAAGGAAATTTCTTCAAAATATAAGGTTTTGAAAGAAAGAATTTCCATTCAGCATAATTTATTACATAAAAATGTTTAGTTTTAAAATTTTTGCAAGAAAAGATAAAGTTGAATATAAAGATATAAAGAATTTTGTATTTGAAGGAATATTAATTTTTGATGAAGAATTGTAAAATCTAAAACTCTCAATAATATTTCAATAACATATATACTTATAAACTATTTTTCGAAAATTTTATAACATATTCATTAACCAAAATATGTCATTGTCTCTTTTTTTTGGCGTAATGAAAGGTGGATGATGATGACTTCATGAAAATGACTATTTTTCTAATGATGGTCGAAATCCAAATCAATCCAATATTATTCGTCTTATTTGTCCAAATTACAATCACCTCTTTTACATATATGTATATTTATTTTCTTCTTTTTATTTGTCCATAGCTTGTAAAAGAAGAAATAGAAAAAGGTGGAAAAAGACATTTTAATGGTCCAACGTATCATTATTAAGATTAGGTAAAAGAAAATTCACGAATAGTTCATGCATGTCTCTTGAGACATCTTTCAAGCTAGCAAATTATAAAGTTCACATATCGAAAATGATTTATCGAGAAATAATCATTTGAATATTAAAATTGTTTTTTTTTGTTTCGTTACGCTTTTATGTTTAGCTATTTAGATGAAAATATTTGAAGATGTTAAGACTATAGATATTCGCAACTTTATTTGTGGTTATTAATCAGGATAATGAAACCATAGTTAGTTTTGATAAGGTTCTTTGACATTAAGGACCGACCTAATAATGAAGAAAAAGCTAACCATTTTAAATTTTATCATTCGATACCCACTTACCAATATACGACCAACAAAATTTCAATCACATTCCAATCAATTAGTCAACTATTTCTTAATTTTGCATCTCTTTTCTTTGTAAATTCACTCTAAAAGCTCTTTTTAGTGAAAATTATCAACACAAGGGTCCATTATCAGTCATTACATTATCTTTGTAGATCTTCTTCTGTTTATGATCTGTTCATCAAGATAATTACAAAAACTTTTTAAATTCACAACTTTAATTTAACAGTTGTACATCACATTCATGCAAAAGAAATATAATTTAATAACATAAGCATATATTTATGAAAAAATACCTTAAATTACCACATTTTAAGGTTTAAATTTCCAAGCATAGCACAAATTATCCTTTTCGAACAAAAAAAAAGCAGAAATTATCCTGCGAAATTAAAACATTGTAAACCGTAATAAACGTTGAATTAAAGAAACTATGCAAGAAAACTCAACAAAACTCCACTTTTGGTTTGTATATTTGTAAAAATACCACTTAGGAGTGTCTATTTGCAAAAATGTCACTAATTATGGATTTTTAAAGCCTAAATCTTAAAATTATAAACCCTACAAAATGTTTTGACTCATATAACCCCTTAAACCCTCAAAACTAAACTCTAATACAACATAGTTAACCCAAATATAAATGATATAATGAAAAAATAATTTTGAAAAATGGTATTTTTGCAAAATTTTTGAGAATGTGGTATTTTTGAAAAGTGGCACTTGAAAAATGTTATTTCTTAAAATTTCTCATAAAACTATTGTCGATTCAGAATATTGATTTTTAAAAGTAGAGATTACCAAACAAATGTATTATCTATTTCACTAGATTTATCTTTGATTATATGATTATGATAGTGTTTATTATTTTGAGAACAAATATTTCCAAAACTAATATTATTTTACGATAATGTTTTGCCTCCATTTCTAAACACAATTGGACCTCAAAAATTAAAAAGAAGAAAAAAATAAGCTATACCGAATGAGCACAATCAAAGTCCATTTGTACCAACCTCCTCTTTTCTCCGGTCTGATCAATCTTCTACGACTCATTTCAGTTTAGGATCCACATTTCGGTTCGATTTTGGTTTAGACTCGAATCCATTCAAGATGGGTTTTGGTTTAATTAAAAAAATAAATAAACAGTATTAAGTCAAGTCCGTTTGAACGGTAAGAAATTCTCAACGGTCACTTTTACAAACAGTAATAAAAATAGCCGTTGCAAATAAAATTCGAAGTTGCTTAAAAAGAGAAAGAACTCTTCCTTTGTTTTTAATCTTTCAAGTTTATATTTTTTTCTCTCTCAGTTTCTCTCTGTGATAATCCAAATCATAAAAGCTTTTTCAGATTGAAAATCTGATACAAACTTTTTTTTCTTCTCCTCCTAATCAAGAAGCAAAAAGACCAAAGAGGGTGGATCCATACTTTATATACACAATTGTAATCAAACCAGCTTCATTTGTCACAATACTTTTATTTCGTTATTTAACTTCAATGAATAATATATTTTGCAGGAAGAGAAGCAAATTTACAACAAAAAAAGCCGCAAGAGGATGGAAGCATACAAAAAGGAACAACCTACGACTTGTGGCTAAATAAAAAATCTCTCTTAGAATAAAGGAATGATGTTTCTTTTTTTCTTTAACAAATTATATTCTTGTTAATCACCATCGATTTTGAAATTACACTTAGGATCCGTAATGTTTAGTTTCTAGAATTTCGTAATAAGAAAAGAGATTATGTAGTTTCATCTCTTGTTCATCTATATGTTTGAGCAATAATTAGGGTTAATCATTGTTTTTGTAACAATTTCCTTTTTTGGTTCGTTCTATAAAAGATTCAATCTGTGTTTATAGTAAAAAACAGAGTACTATGTTCTTTCGGTTTTAATTCTCAAGTGTAAATTATCCAATCTACTAAATCAACTTTTTGGTTTCTTTCTTTGTCTTTGAAGGTGGCGCATTTACCGTGAAGAGCATGGCTTAAGGCTCTCATTAAACGGGTATTTGTATGATTTTAAACTTCTAGATTGTTGGATTAATCAACAAACTTGATTGTT